GGTTGGATGTGCAGGTGGTGTAATGGATAATGGCTCAGAATTGTTAATCGGAGAGCCAGGTTACAATTCCCATTGAGTTTGTTATATTCACTTACATGTAAATATCTTTGGGAAAAGTATGAATCCACCTCTTCTTGCCCCAGCTATGGGTTAATTAAACCAATGAAAAAGTTAAATCAATGAAATACTGATTAGTTACACAGGCTTGTCTTAGATTTATTTATTTTCTCTGGAATATAAATGTAGAGAAGCAACCATGATTAAAAAGTGAGGGATCAGTCTATATAGTGATTGTAATATAAAATTGATCTCCCACTTTATATACACATTATAATTTCTTCTTTGTTTATCAAATTCTGATTAGGTATGAATCCACATCTCCCCCCAGCTATGGGTTAATTAGTAAGATTTAAATCACTAAAACTATTATTATCAAAAAAAAAAAAAATTCTTACACTCTAAAAATGTTTTTTGGCTTTAAATAACCTACAAAGGGTTGATAAGCTGTAAAAAACGAACCAACATTTATTTTATGTTCCTCATTTATTTCTGTAGAAAGGAGAACTATGTTTTTTCTTATACACTTGCAGGAGGTGATTTTGTTTATATCTTTTAAACGTATAAATAAGATTTCTTTCTTTTGGATTATGGTTAATATACATATTGGGATCATGTTTACTGGGTTTGCAGGGTAACAGAAAAAAGGAACATATCTAAAATAATTTAATTCATTGGTGAATAAGTCCTGATAGTTTCATTAAAATCCAATAATTCTTTGATTTTTGCAAGCATTTCCAGATTAATGTGTTTTTCACCACAAAAAAAAAACGCTAAAATTTCCGAAAATAATCTTTGGTATCTTGCTGACACAAGAAAAACAAAATTTCTAACAAAATTTTTTGAACATTCTAAAATAGATCAAAAAATATAATTTAATAATTAATAATAAAATTCTTTGGTCTTTCCTCTTAATAAGATTTTGACAATAAAACTTTGTTTTTATTAAGTTTGGGGCATTTTTTTCAACATGATATGCTCATTTCTTTAGCAAATCTGTGAAGTTACAGTATATATATATATATATATATATATATATATATATGAGAGAGAGGAAGATAAAGAGAGAGAGATGGAAAGTGGAGGAATTTTTAGCGAATCTGTGAAGGTACCTATTGTTTATATATCATGTTTGTTGCCATGGGCTAAAGTCAGCTAAGTTTAGTATATAATTATAAAGATATGTTGGCAATCCTTAACCTTGCAAAAAAAGCTATGTGAATAAGACAGTTTTTCCTTTAATGTGCAATGGATGTCTGCTTGGAAGGAGAAATCAGAGAGAGCCATGTTAAAATTTCAGTTGGGTTCATTATATTCACTTACATGCAGATAAGCTTGGGCAAGGTATGTATCCATCTCCCCCCACATATGGGTTGAATAGCAGAACAGACCGGGACCTGTTGCCTTGCCTGGTAACCAGTCTACTGCAGAAGGAAACGGCAACCTATCATGAGAAAATCTTCTATCTAGTCAGTCATGAATTGAAAGAGACATGATCACTTAAATGTGTATCATGTATAGCACTTAACAGGCTGGCTGAATCTCTGGCAATAAAAATGTGGTCCTACAGAAGGATGCTGAGAATGCCCACATGTGAGCAATGACAAAGTTTTAGAGAAAAAAGAAACAAAAAGGACACTTATACACTATTTACATTATTTGGGCTAATGTCCTCATCTTTGTTGCCATATTTATCATGTTTCAGCCATTGTACACGTCAGCCTTCTTCATGTGGTTGGAATGTTGAACTGAACCCTTTATTTCGCTCATTGGGGTAGACTGTTCTAGTTCCATGTGCCATGTCTAATGGTTGTCAGTTATCAATTATCTCCTGTTAATTCCACTCTCAAAGTTCTTCACCACCTTAACCAGGTATTGAACTCACACTTTTTGGTCCTGTCACTGGATCTAACTAACACCACAAAAATCTCCTGAGATGACCAAGCATAGAAATGAATACAATATGGGAACCAATAATAAGGAGTGACAGAGAAAAGCTATAATAACAACGAAAATTGCAATATGAGCTCTGGTAAAAACATAAAATGATAACAGCAAAAATTGCAATATGAGTACTGGTAAAAATGGTTGCTGAAGACATTAGGTTTATAATACCCAGAAATTCATACACAGATGTCCTCAATGGCACATTGGATAAAGGCGTTGGTTAGATCCAGTGACAGGACCCAAAGAGTTACGAGTTCAATACCTGGTTAAGGCAGTGGAGAACTTGGAGAGGTGAATTAACAGGAGATAACTGACATCCATTAGACATGGCATGTGGAATTAGAATGGTCTACCCCAGTGAGAAAAATAAAGGGTTCAGTTTGGCATGCCAACCACCTGAAGAAGGCTGGAGTGTACAACCAAAATGTTGTGATAAATATGGCAACAAAGATGAGGACACTTATATTGTAATGCCGGTTTGTAGGCGAGACTTTGTAAATCACGAATACAATAAAAGTAACACCTCCGTATAATACTCAGCCAGACGCTGCTAATTCCCATATACAAAATCCAGAGATGAATATGCAATGTGATAGGTCCTGATCTGGCATCTAGTCTACAGTCGCTTTCTCACAGATGTGCTGTGGCTTCCCTCTGTCTCTTTGACAAATATTTTCACAGCAACAGTTCCAACAAGTTGCTTTCATTGGTTCCCAGACTGCATGAATTTAAGCGAGCTGCTAAGTTGGTATCTCAATCTCACTCTTTCACTGTCAAAACAGTTAGATGTATCCGTCTCTTCTACTCAAACAGCATCTTCTCTCGCACTTCCCATCTGTTGAACTCCCTTCCCCTTCCTTGTTTCCTCGATGACTATAATCTTCAAATATTCAAGTGTAATGTCAATCAACATCTGACACCCTGAGATTGTTCCCCGACCTTCTCTGTATCCTTTCCTCAAACACACCTCTTTACTCCTGTTCTCAATCCTCTGTAACCCCTTGTGTGCTAGTGGCACTTCCGCCTTGCTTAGGGTGAATTGCTTAAAATACATTATATATATTACTTTATCCGTCACGTAATCTAATTATTTCAAGATGAGGTTGACTGTGCTTGCTCTCTGGCGATCCTGGTTCAAACCCAAATGTTAGCAGCAACACTTTATTCCTATACGACAACTTAACATCAGAAATGCAAAGTCAATCATTATCAACTGTCTTCTTAATTCCTCTTCTATTGTTCTCTCTTTTACTTATTCTTTCACACTCAGTAACGCTTTGCGTCTTAGTGGCTTTATTGCCTTGCTTGGAATGAAATCATACAAAAAAAGGTAGTTGAAATTTCTAAGGTATGTAATGAAGAAAGAAGGCTTGGAGAATTTGACAATCACAGGAGAGGCTCAGAATAAAGTAACGAATAATCTATTTAACGAGCTTGTGTAAATCGTTGGCAGAACAGGAATTATGAAGGAGAGCATAAAGATAAACCTTACTAAGAGATACAAAGGACAGAAAGTTGTGGAGAGCCATGACTGCCCATGACCTGAACTGACAAAACATATTGAAGAAGTAGAATCTTTGTCAAATATTCATTTTGTTTATCATTTCAAATCAAAATATGTCCAATTATAAAAATAAAACATTTGAAGACGATATAAAGTAACAAATGGCAAAGAGGATTTGTTTAAAAAGAACAGATCAGAAAGATATGAAAAAATGAACAGCATTTGATTTGCTGTGCGTTCAGTTTGTTTTTTCCTTGTTCTTTTTCTTGCAAAGAAACTGCAGACATTTTCTAAATAAAAAGACAATCCCAAGGAGCACAACTGTTATGACAGCAAATATAAAGAGCCAGATATCTCCCATTAGCAACTGGAAAGCCGAGAACTTGTTTTGATTGGAACGGAGATGCTGGCTGCCATATTTCAAAATATATTCCACTGAAGAAGCAGCACGCTTGGATGGCGTTTCTGGACGTGAGTGGAAGATTTTGGACAGGTGGCTAATATTTTTCTTATATGTTGGATCCTCAAGGAGATCTCTGATTGTATTCAGGACGATTTCTTCTGTCAAAGTGGTAATCTCTAAGGCTCGACCGATATGAAAATGGTCGAGTTTCTTAGCATTGTGTAATTGGTCACCAGCAAGTGGAAGACACAATAAGGGAACGGCATTGTATAAACTTTCAAACATGCCATTATTTCCACAATGATAGATGATCAGTTTGGTGTTAGGATGGCCCAGAGCGTCATTTTGAGGTAACCATGATTGCATCCAGATATTATTGATCCGTTTTTCATCATCATTTTTCCAGAAGACTCTTTGCTTCAGCTTTGGGAAAAGAGATAGAAATAAATTTTTGGTACGTGTATTGGGCCTGAAAAATGAACCAAAAGACATCACGATCACTCCATGAGGGGCTTCATCAAAGAATCTCTTTATTTCTTCTGGTAGTGGGCTGGGGGCTTTTGTTGTAAGGCCTCCAACTTGGATAAAATTGGGCATCGTAGGTTTAGGAAAGTCTAAAACAAAATCAGAATTTTCCAGAAAGATTTCAGAATTTTTTGGCAAGTCTTCAGCTTCTGGAAAAGAAAGCATTGGTACTGCACTGGAAATGTCATAGGCACTAAAAACATGACGGAGCAAAATCGTAGATATAAAATGATATAGGAAATTGTGAACACGTTGAGAAAATGACATTTCAGTTCCGTAAGGCAAAAGTATAAACGGAACAAAATTTGTTGAGACGGGATGACCAATCTCGAGTTGTATCATTGCAGTGCTGACGCTTGCATATGGAATCTTGAGGTTGTATGGGATCAGGTAAAGGCACTTCATAAAAAAGGCAAAGTTCACAATGGCAAAATCAAATTTTTCTGCTTGTAACTTTTTAAATGCTTCTGCATCATTCACTTGAAGACAGGACATTTTCCGCATATTTCCTATTTTTGAGAATAGGTTGATTTTTCTGCGAAAAACTTCATCGTTGAATTGATT